GCACAATGTACAGTACTCGACATTGGGGACTAAAAGTTTATTTCTACATGTGTTACTCACTAGAACCTCACAGAAGTAATATTTGGAGGTCCACTCATTGCTTTCCGATCCTCCATTTAAAGTGATACACGCCACTATAGTCTATCATCTCACTGTTATTGGAATTCTCAGCTCTGATTCTACCCAGTAATAGCCCCATATGGCTGTTATTATCTGAGGATTGCTACAACTTCCAATCACATAAATCCTCCTGTGTTGTGACTGACAGTGCATGCTGAGATTAGCTGTCAGTGGTAAATTAGAATTTGGAGATTGGAAAATTGGACAATTATTTGATTGGCCAAAATTCGGACAAACTGGAGATCTTCAAGTGTAGATTGCATTACTCTCAGTCCTGCGAGTTTGATCCTCTTTCCCTTTGCCCATAATGTGAGTCAGTGAAGAGACTTTAACCCCTTAAGGACCAAACTTCTGGAATAAAAGGGAATCGTGACATGTCACACATGTCATGAGTCCTTAAGGGGTTAATCTGTGTATATGAGCAAATTATGATTCCAATAATGAAACATATAAATAGTTTAACCGTGTGCACTATTATGTCAAATTGTTCTTCCTTGTTGTGCATCAATATGGTGGAATGGAGAACTTGTGGTATTTATTAAGGCGCACCTGTCGTGCATAACATGGTTTAACGTTAAAAAAATAATACGTCAACTGTATTGTGCTAGCCAACGAGCTTCAAATGTATAGATAAAAAGTCATTCAACAATAAATGAATGTGATGACCTTGGACTTTGCTGCCTTTCAATTTTTTTATCGCAGTAAAGACATTGTACTTGTTAGTTGGATTCAATTAAAGAAACAATATCTCCCAACTCCTATTATGCACTGCTGGGTGGTTTCACAAGCAGACGCTTGTTGAATGAAGAGGAAGGGGAAATTCTTTAAAATCAACCAATATGCTTGTGATTTTCACCAGCAGAGTAAATAGATTAAATATATACCTATTTAATGTCGGTGGTATATTGCTGGCTGTCTCAAAAGTCCAGCAATAGTAATTGATTGGCTTCTGGGCTGACTGGGATGACAGCTAAGGCAATGTGATTATTGTGATTGGCTCTCTCAGTGATCATTCAGTCTGGGGTCACTCAATAATTCAGTACATTATTTAGGTTAGTGATTTATCTATGGGTTAGGGCTATGGTTAGAGGTAGCTAAGGTTAGCTGGGTTTGCAAGTGTTAGCTATGGTTAGTTTTCGTTAGTTAGGGCTAGGACAAGCTAGTGTTAGCTGTGTTACAGTTAACTATGTTTAGAAATAATAATGATATTTGACACTGTTCAGTATTGTGATGCACATTGTGCAGGTTGTTTAAATTTATCAAATTCGTGGTGGGGCACACATATGCGGAGCTAAAAGGCAAAAAGACTGAAGAGCAAGAAAGAGAGAGGAATATAAGAAAGAAAGGACCATATACTTCCTCTCCAGCACCATAGAGACCATAAAGCACACGTTAAGTCCCTTAAAACACATACATATCAGATAGGGCCAGATTAAGAGCCCAGTGGGCCTAATGCTGAAAATTATGATGGGCCTAATTACAGAATCTTATCGACCAAAAACATTAAAACACTCCTAAGCATCATGCATCTGATGGAGATGGTGCTTGAGGAAAAGCAAACAGCAGCTATAAGAAAACACATACCCTATGCTAATCCATAACCCTAACAACAGTGTCCAGTGAAGCAGGAAGTCAATGGGCGGGGTAAAAGGGAGTGCCACCAACGCAAATCACGTAACCTGCCAAAAGGGGCAAACATGCCCAAAAATCAGGGCTCGAGTCCTGCAGGAACGCATGGGAACGGCGTTCCTGCACTTTTTCCAAAGCAGGAACGCCGTTCCCACTAGTGATCCTGCAGGACAGGTGCCTGCTCACACTACTCTCCCCTGCGGTAGTTTACTGATGAGTGAGTAAAGACTGCAGTGGGCAGGGCGTTTAACATCACTTCCTGTCAGGCCCTGCTAGAGGATTACCGAGCAGGGAGAGCTAAGAACATCTCTTTTCAGATAATTACAATCCACCAACGGTAAGCAGCCATGTTTTATTTATTTTTTCATGAAATAATAATGTACCTAGCACAGAGCTCCACAGAGCTAAATCTTATAGTTCATGTGGAGCTCTGTGTTTTATTGGTCCAACAGTGCCACCTCACTTCTATTCCTCTTATGCTTCCTCTCCCCCCATCACTAGCAGCCACCCAATCTCCCCATCACTAGCAGCCATCCTCCCTCACCCCTATCACTAGCAGCCACCCCTCTCTCACCCTATCACTAGCAGCCATCCCCTTTCCCCCATCACTAGCAGCCATCCTCCTCTCCCCTATCATTAGCAGCCACCCCTTCTCCCCACCAGAAGCCATCCTTCTCCTCCCATCACTAGCAGCCACCCCTCACTCATCCTTATCACTAGCAGCTATCCCCTTATTCCCAATCACTAGCAGCCATCCCCTTTCCCCCATCATTAGCAGCCATCCGCCTGTCTCTCATCACTAGCAGCAATCCCTCTCTCACCCCTATTACTAGCAGCCACCCCTCGCTCACCCCTATCACTAGCAGCCATCTTCTTCTCTACATCACTAGCAGCCATCCCTTTTCCCCCATCACTAGCAGCCATCCTCCTCTCCCCTATCATTAGCAGCCACCCCTTCTCCCTACCAGCAGCCATCTTCCTCTTCCCATAACTAGCAGCCATCCCTCACTCATCCTTATCACTAGCAGCCATCCCCTTTCCCCCATCAGTAGCAGCCATCCGCCTGTCCCTCACTCACCCCTATCACTAGCAGCCATCCCCTTCTCCCCCATCACTAGCAGCGAAACATTCTCCCCATCACTACCCGCCATTACTCTCACCCCTATCACTAACAGCAATCCTCCTCTCTCTGTTACTAGTAGCTATCATTTGCAGCCGTCCCCCTCTCTCCCTCCCATCACTAGCAGCCATCCCTCTCCTCCTCTCATCACTAGCAGTATATGTCTGTTTATGTATGTCTCTGTATGCCTTTCGTCTGTTTGTCTCTTTATAACTGTGTGTAAATCTCTGTATGACTGCGTCTGTATGTCTCTGTATAACTGTGTCTGAATGCCTTGTTCTGTATGTCACTGTATGACTGTATCTTTATGTCACTGTATGACTGTGTCTTCATGTCTCTGTATGACTGTGTCTTCATGTCTCTGTATGACTGTCTGCGTGTCTCTGTATGACCGGTTGCCTGTATGTCTGTGTATGACTGTCTGTGTGTCTGTGCATGACTGGTTGCTTGTATGACTGTGTTTGTTTGTGTTCCTTTTATGACTACGTGCCTGTATGGTTGTGCCTTTGTGCATGTATGTATTTGTACCTGTATATCTATGTCTGTATGGTTTGGGAGGAAAAAGCCAGGCAAAGGGGCTCATGGTGGGAGAAACAGACACAGAAAGGGGCTAAGGGCAGATAGAGACACACAAAGTGGCTGGGGGAAAGAAAGAGACACACAAAGGGGCTGGGGGGGAAGAAAGAGACACAAAAGGGCTGTGAGGAGAAAAGAGACACACAAAAGGAGCTGATGAGGAAGTAAGAGAAACACAAAGGTTGTGGTAGGAAGAAAGAGATATACAAAGGGCCTGGAGAGGGAACACAGAGTGTGCTGGGCCCCCGTGTGCAGCGGCTGTCTCTCTCCACCATACCACCAGGCAATCTCCCCCCTTCCTGGCAAGGTTAGAATATAAACACATACATTTAAAAAAAAAAAAAATGCTTCCCCCCCTTTCATCCAGCACACACACACACATCATCCAACACACACAAAACATCCAGCACACACACATCATCCAGCACACACACACAAACATCATCCAGCACACACGCACACATACACATCATTCAGCACACACGCATCTTCCAGCACACACACTGCATTCATTACACACAATCTGCACTTACTACAAACACACTAAATTCATTATACACACTCTGCACACATACACATCATTCACGCACTACACACACTGCATTCCTTATACACACTGCACACACACTGCACATTCACTATACATTCATTACACACTCTGCACTCCCTACACACACTATTCACACACACTCACTACACACATTCATTATACACACTCTGCACTCACTATACAACTATCACACTACTCTGCATTCACATCACTACACACTACACACTGCACTCACTACAAACACACTACATTCACTATACACACTCTGCACTCACTAAAACATACTACATTTATTATACACGCAGCACTCACTACAAACACACTACATTCATTATACACACTCTGCACTCACTACACATTACATTTAGTATACACACTGCACTAACTACAAACACACTACAGTCATTATACACACTCTGCATTCACTACAAACACACTACATTCATTATACACACACTGCATTCACTACAAACACACTTCATTCATTATACACACACTGCACTCACAATAAACACACTACATTCATTATACACACTCTGCATTCACTACAAAAACACTACATTCATTATACACACTGCACTCACTACAAACACAGTACATTTATTATACACACTGCACTCACTACAAACACACTACATTCATTATACACACCCTGCACTGCACTATATGCATAGGAGTATAATTTTTGTTTTTGTTTTTTGGGAGATGGGGGGGGGGGACAGGAATCT